ATTCAGCTTTCAGATGATGTATAAATCTCGATTTCGATTTGACCCTTATGACTGGTTTTGTGGTCTAGGGCCACATATTATGATCAGGATGTTAAAATAAACAAAAATCTCACCTTTCAGAGTAGACATTGATAAGCATGTCCCAGCCAGGTTTGTCACTTGTTGCGGTTCCCTTAAACATTTCCGATGTGTCTGTGCGTATTTGCAGCTCGTTTCTGTATTTGGTTAGGTTGTGATTATAGGCAGCACATGTGTTGTCAAACTGATGAAGATGTTGTTGGTGTTCAGCAAAAAGACACGTGAACCATGTGCTAAAGCTGGACGTCTCTAAAATTATACTAAAAGGCCTTTTACTTGTCAACAAATATATACTATCAGTCTGATGACAGAAGGCATGTAGTTGTTTGTGTGCAACAACTTTTTCAGCAAAAAAAAAAAATTTGCAAAACAAATATGACGTAGGACTTACAGGGTTAAGCAATTCCACATAATGGAACAACACCATATACTATATATACCAGCAGAATCTGTCTTGTCTCACCTTCTGAAGGCCAGTGGTTTCATCTTGAATCTCATTAGGAAGGATGATCAACATACTGAGATTCTTCCCGACATACGGCAGCTCCAGAACCAGACTGTTCATCTCTGGGATGAAGGCCAGAGGAAACTTTGATTCCTGATGCATCATCTTCACTGGTTTAGTTCGAGTCTGTCAAGCATCAATAGATCAATTGAAACATGTCACAACTCATATTTCATGACTGCTAAAAATAGTTTAAAAAGAGCATGAAATCTCACCTTGTTCAGCTTAAACTGTCCATCTCTGGTGGCTTCCTTTGGGAATTTCTTCTCCCAGTTCCCCTTGAAGTAGATGGCGTTCACCAAGACCAGTTTTGTAGTTTCATCAACACCTCGTGGCGGCAACAAGTCCTTGATCTTCTCTGAAATTCAAATGGACATTTTCCACTTTAGGCACTGGTTTGAACTGATTCACATATGAATAACACAAATGAATCACCAAAAATACTATTAAAGCATCTGTCTCAAAGCTCATGACAACGTTCTTACGGAAATGCAAACTTAATGTTGCTTAATTTAACCCTGCTATCAAAGTATATCAAAACTTTAAACTCCGAAGAGCTAACAGGGAATGTTCTCTGGCAAGGTTCCCTCAAAGTTATGAACAAATGTTCTCAAAACATTAGCAGGAAAAAACTTCAAAGAATACAGAATAAGTTCATGCTGGTTTTCACCTTGAGTGTTTTTCTCCACCCATTTGTTGATGTCGACACGCGCAGCCTCTGATTTCTTCTTGAAGTCCACCTCTTCCAGTCTGGCTTCATAGTATATTTTTGCGTCATTGAGGAATTTCTGCAACATTGCAAATCGATTGAGGTGCAAATGAAATTAGAGTTGAGAACATTTCCAGAATCTCCAGTGAGTGCTATCAAAGTATATCAAAACTTTAAAATCCGAAGAGCTAACAGGGAATGTTCTCTGGCAAAGTTCCCTCAAAGTTATGAACAAATGTTCTCAAAACATTAGCACAAAACATTATTTATACATTGTTCATTAAACATATTTTTCTGAAGCGTTTTAGTTGGACATTCGTCTAATGTTTTTTAAATGTTACTATGTGTTTCAGAATGTTCAGAGATGTTTGCAAAATGATAAAATGGAATGTGTTTACTTTTTAAAAATGTTTTTAGAACATTTAAAAAACTGGTTGTTTTGAACATTCAGAAATAATGTTTTAAGGGAATGTTAGAAAAATGTTCTTATAACATATTTTTGTTAGCTAGGTAGCTCAACTCAAGAACCCTATGAAGCCTAACATTTCGCTGATCTTAAAGTGCAGGAAAAAACTTCAAAGAATACAGAATAAGTTCATGCTGGTTTTCACCTTGAGTGTTTTTCTCCACCCATTTGTTGATGTCGACACGCGCAGCCTCTGATTTCTTCTTGAAGTCCACCTCTTCCAGTCTGGCTTCATAGTATATTTTTGCGTCATTGAGGAATTTCTGCAACATTGCAAATCGATTGAGGTGCAAATGAAATTAGAGTTGAGAACATTTCCAGAATCTCCAGTGAGTCTTACCTCAACAAACTGGTAGGATTGTTCTCCGTAGAGGCGGTTGGCAAGACTCAACACATACGGCGCTCATGGTTTCTTCAGTTCACTCATGAGCTTGTTGAAGCTGGAATGAATTTGGTCCTCAGTTTTTTGTCCAGGTGTGGGCTGAGCAGGAGATTTCTGTTTGTATCAACAATATCAAATGTAATCCCCAAGACTACATGCACCACTACAGCAAATACATTGCAATCATAAAGTCGTGAGGTTAGTGTTTCATGTAAATACTCATACTGAACCTTGAGTTCGGCAGGTATCTCAAACTTCTGGGTTTGTTGCGTCATTGTTGGTTCATGTTGACCCTTGACGCCGCAGGGCATCTGGGGCTTCTGGGCTTGTTGATGAGGTGCTGGAGTCGCGGCATCAGGCTTGGCAGGATTGTTAAAACCCAAAACCTACACAGCATTATTGTATATAAATGCATTTTTAATTCTGAACAACTGGCCATAAAAAATTAATAAGTGTGAGATCACCTTAAACATCTGCGCCACTGTGTTTCCTTTTGCTCCGAGCGACACCATGGCGAGAGCTGAAGAGATGCTGATCGGAGAGTAGAACACATTTCCTGATGTGTTTCCTCCACTGATCTTCTTGAACAGGTTTAGAGAGAACTGCGTGTTTGCTGAAGACAAACGCTCCATTTTCTCAAGCTGAGCAAGAAATAGCAATAGTTTAAATAACAGCAGATATGAAAGTGGACGGATCTAAACTGCATACAGAAAAGCACCTCTAACAAACAGAGTTCAGTAAAAGTATTACCTGGAAATGAAATGAAGAAGTCTGAAACCAGCAGAAATGAAGAAGTTTCCCAGCGTGACTGAGGCGAATGAATTAACCAGTATGGGTGTCAGTCTAATAAATAAAGCCTCGCCCTAATCTATTAATCCAAGTTCAGCCTTTTTGTACAATAAGAATGAACGTTTCTATTATTATATTGATATATTTCTCCACTTGGAACACCATCAAACGTAAACTGAATGATTCATTCTTCATTTCACTCCTTTATCATAAAATTAAAATAAAAGTGTGTGTAGCTGAGAACATAGGAACGATAAATCAAAACTGTATTATTCACAGTTTGTCATTTTTAATCCTAATGTCTGTGCAATCCGATAAACGCAGCAAGCCACACCTGCCTCTTTGACACAAATCATGTAGGTAGATGGCCAGGTCTCTCACCCTTTACCAACAAATGATCAATAAAATGACACATCGCTAGAGATCAGCTTTCTGCAGAAAAAGCAGCCAAAACATATACTTTTATTGCAACTGGTGAGGGGGCTAGAAGTTCTATATTAAAACAGAACACAAATACAAGATGGTTTAACCTAGAACAATTAGATAAATTTAAGTACACAAAAACCCATTTGCATTATGCCTACACTCTAAAAAATGCTGGGTTGTTTCAACCCAACTTTGGGTCAAATATGGACTAACCCAACATTTGGGTTAAAAATGTAATGTAAAAATTTAACCCAACGAAGTACACAAAAACCCATTTGCATTATGCCTACACTCTAAAAAATGCTGGGTTGTTTCAACCCAACTTTGGGTCAAATATGGACTAACCCAAACGTTGGGTTAAATTTTTACATTACATTTTTAACCCAAAAGTTGGGTTAGTCCATATTTGACCCAAAGTTGGGTTGAAACAACCCAGCATTTTTTAGTGTGTACACACTTCGTAAACCAGGGCTGGTTACGGGGATGTTAGAGGTGCCAAGCACCCTCAAACGAAAGCAAGAGCACCCAGTTCTCCAGTGCGTAGTTGTGCTCGTGCTCTGAGCGCGTCAAAGAATCCACTGAACGCTCTTTTTTTTTTTGTCCAGTAGAAAACACCCCCTTAAGGAATGTGTAATTTTTTTTCTGTGAAACAAAAGTTAAATTTGTCCAGAATAGTTATCATAGTTTTAGTGACAATTACATAAATTATAAATCAAGTATGAAAAATGTCCAGAGTTTTCATGCTATTATATTTTTAACAAAAATTGAATTTGTACCAAGGGGGTGTTTTGCCCCACAGGTGGGATAAAATGCCCCCAGTCTGACAAAGCAATTTGCTTTATACATTTACAGCAAAATCAGCGTACAGGCAGTTTTAGCTTAAAATTAAAAGTAATTATGAATTACAAAATTATAATAGCCTATTTGAAATATATTGTTTGCTAATGCTAACTGGCTAGCTAACTAGCTACCTGATGCTAACTTGAGGTAATTTTTAAATATAAAGTCCAAATATTTTTATTCAACCACCTAGTTAGAATACATTTGATGGACAAACAAAGGATTTGATGTTCAGAACAGAGTAACTACAGTAATTGTGGTAAGAAAATTCTTTCTGGCATATATCTAACTGTCTATCACAAATTACTACATCATATTATAAATATAGTGTATAACATAGTGTGTCATATACATTATTAACCATAGTAAATATAACATTTTAGTATATTAAACCATAATGTTTTAGCAACGAGTTCCAGAAGCTTTAAATACCTTTAATGTGAAGGTGGAATCGTATCAATATTGCTTTTTCTTGTTATGTAACACTTCAAAGATTGAATTTTGTGCTTATTTTTCCATGTTTTACAGTTTCCATGTTAAAAAGATTAAACTGAAATATATTTTTTGGAGATGCACTGGTCAGTTGGCCATCAATCAGAACCAGACAGTTTTTGCTTTAAACGCATGAATGGCAAATGGCCATCCTTTATTTTTTCCATTCTGTAGTCTGTTTTGTGTCAGAACTCTCAAATCAGTGCTGTGAAAGTAAATGCGTAGAAAAAAATGTCACTCAGTTATTTGCTAGAGCCTTTATTTGTCAGAGAAACACAGACACTTTGTATTATCACTCCATCATTAAGGATCTTTAAGGAGAACAGAATCGTCCATAGAACAGAATGCTGTTGGAGGGATTATGCCGGATGAAGAAAAGGAAGGGATGATCTGCAATGAAGGTTTTTGGGTCTAATGGCATAGAGGTTGTTTCGATAACGATGCCGGTGGCTGCAGCCGCTTCGGTTCCTTCCTCGTTTACTTCAACAAAGGCTTTATGAATCACCTTCGACACCACCAGGTCGTTGTTGGGCGACATGCCTGAAAGATTCACCTTCTGCAGGTCAAAGGCATCTTCCATTCCCATGCTGATCAGAAACTGCACCATGCCATAGGTTTCTGCCATCTTAAATTTAGGTAAAGATATTTGAACTTGCTCTTGAAACATCTTGCTGGGTTTGGTCCACTCCATGAGCTTCTCGTAGGTCAGTGCCTTTTCAAGCTGCATAATAAGAGAGTCGTGTTAATGCGTGTCTATTTGTATGAACATGTATGGGGTCTGTTTGTACAGCATCATTGATTTGACACTTTTATTTTGTGTTTGGATAGACCATTTCATTCAAGAATACATTAAAAAGTCTTGTAGACTGTAACTCTTCAATGACTTATATATTTATGCAGCAACCAGCAATTCCAAATAAAGAAAAAACACACCATACACTCTAAAAAATGCTGGGTTAAATACAACCCAGCGCTGGGTAAAATATGGACAAACCCAGCTACTGGGTTGTTTTGACCTAGCGGTTGGGTTACTGCCCAGAAGTTTGGGTTAAATATTTAACCCAACTGTTGGTTGAAAACAACCCAATCGCTGGGTTTGTCCATATTTTACCCAGCGCATTTTTTAGAGTGTATAATCCGTGTTGTCTCACCTTCTGAAGGCCAGTGGTTTCATCTTGAATCTCATTAGGAAGGATGATCAACATACTGAGATTATTCCCAACATACGGCAGCTCCAGAACCTGACTGTTCATCTCTGGGATGAAGGCCAGAGGAAACTTTGACTTCTGTCGCATCATCTTTACTGGTTTAGTTTGAGTCTGCAAAGCATCAGTAGGTCAACAGAATCATGTCACAACTCATATTTCATGACTGTTAAAAATATACATGAAATCTCACCTTGTTCAGCTTAAACTGTCCATCTCTGGTGGCTTCCTTTGGGAATTTCTTCTCCCAGTTCGCCTTGAAGTAGATGGCATTCACCAAGACCAGTTTTGTCGCATCATTGACACTTTCTCGTGGCAGCAAATTCTTGATCTTTTCTAAAATAGCAAGTCCTTGATCTTCTCTGAAATTCAAATGGACATTTTCCAATTTAAGCATTGATTCGAAGCGATTCACACAAATGAATCGAATTAATCTCTACAAAATGAAAATCTAAATCAAAACACTATTAAAGCATCTGTCAATTAAAGCTCATGACAGTTCTAATGAAAATGCAAACTTAATGGCCATAATGAACAAAACCACTGAAAGTATATCAAAACTTAAACTTCCCAAGTATTATACAGTTCAGCAAGAGCACATGAAGCGAAACATGAGCCTAAAGTGCTGAAATAGACCTACATATTTTTGTAATAGTGCAGACTGTGTATAATTCAAATTATGTTCATTCTGGTTTTCACCTTGAGTGTTTTTCTCCACCCATTTGTTGATGTCGACACGTGCAGCCTCTGATTTCTTCTTGAAGTCCACCTCCTCCAGTCCGGCTTCATAGTATTTTTTTGCATCATTAAGAAATTTCTATAACATAGCAAATCAATTGAATTAGAGATCATTTCCAGAACTTTGTCCTTTAATACCATGAGCAAACATTGAATTATTTGCTTTGAGTCTTACCTCAACAAACTGGTAGGATTGTTCTCCGTAGAGGCGGTTGGCAAGACTCAACACATACGGGGCTCCTAGTTTCTTCAGTTCACTCATGAGCTTGTTGAAGCTGGAATGAATTTGGTCCTCAGTTTTTTGTCCAGGTGTGGGCTGAGCAGGATATTTCTGTTTGTATCAACAATATCAAATTTAATCCCCAAGACTACATGCACCCCTATGGCAAGTACATTGCAATCATAAAGTCGTGAAGTTAGTGTTTCATGTAAATACTCATACTGAACCTTGAGTTCGGCAGGTATCTCAAACTTCTGGGTTTGTTGCATCATTGTTGGTTCATGTTGACCCTTGACGCCGCAGGACATCTGGGGCTTCTGGGCTTGTTGATGAGGTGCTGGAGTCGCGGCATCAGGCTTGGCAGGATTGTTAAAACCCAAAACCTACACAGCATCATTGTGGTAAAATTGATAAAGATAACTACTTCACTATTTTGATAACGTCAACATCTATTGTTTTTTTTTTAATTGCAGTGATTCCATAGAAGCATTTTTTGGTTCCTTAAAAGAACCTTTATACCTAGTGTGAAATGCATTTGAAAAATCTGAAGGACCTTTTCCACTATAAAGAACCTTTTTGTGCAATTGAAAGTTTCCATGTTATTGTTTCTTCACCACAGATGCCAATCAGAAACTGCTATATTAAATTCTGAACAACTGGCCATAAAAAAGCATATAAATGTGAGATCACCTTTAACATCTGTGCTGCTGTTTCCCCTTTTGCACCGAGCGACACCATGGCGAGAGCCGAGGAGATGCTGATCGGAGAGTAGAACACATTTCCTGATGTGTTTCCTCCGCTGATCTTCTTGAACAGGTTTAGAGAGAACTGTGTGTTTGCTGCAGATAAACGCTCCATTTTCACAAGCTGAGCAAGAAATAGCGGTTGTTTAAATAACAGCAGATTTGAAGGTGGACAGATCTTGTTAGTTCTATGCAATGTTAGTTCTAGGAAATGATGAAGTTTCCCAGTGTGACTGAGTCGAATGAATTAACAGTTATGGGTGTCAGTCTAATTAATGATGCCTCACCCTAAAACAGTTAGTTTTTAATCCAAGTCCGACCTTCCTGTAAAAACATAAATTGTTTCTAATATTATTTGATTTATTTATCCACTTACATGATTCATTCTTCATTTCACTCTTTGTTTATAGTAACTTGAAATCAAATAAAAGAGTGTGTAGGTGCAAGAAACAAAACCTGAATCCAAGAAAGATGAATCATATTTACATTAATCATAATGTACAAATCAATAACGGATTAGCTGATGAGGGTTGGAAGTAGGTGTCACTGTGAAACTTTTTAGAAAACGTGTTAAAAAACAAAATGAAATATAATAACTGTCCTTGCCACACACCCCAAGAACAACTGCTTTTCTAAATGACGTTTAGTTACAGTTACAGTTATTAACACTTCATGCAGTGATCATGATCTTAGTTTTTACTATGTGGGCATGTCAGATGTTTGGTTGCGTAAAACAGGTCATGTGTTGTGGATACACCTTTTTCATATGTGATATGTAATATAAATATAGCCTAATAATTATGCACTGTATATAATTATGCCAGTGAATTGAGAGCAAAACTTATGATGCTACTGCAGTGGCCATTAAAGTAATTATTTGCTAGAGACCTTATTTATTTATTTTCATTCAACTACCACAATAGACCTGCAACACAAGTTTCTGTATATATGAGTTTGTTCACTAAAAGGGGGCTCTATCATTCCATTAATGACAATACATTCAATAGATGTATGGATTAAAACATTTTTTTCATGAATATTTATATCTCCAGTATGAAAAGTTTTTCCCACATTTAAACACCAAATTCAGCTAATGCATTATTGTAAATAAGAATCTTGTTTTTAGTTTAGTTGTAAAGAGCAACATTTAGCTGATTAAATATTTTAGAGGTGAGCAAAACTAGAAATTAAATGGACTGTGTTTGTACACTTAATCATAAAGTGTGTAAAACCCAATAATGTAATATAGCGGATGGTGGTTGAAAGTATGTGTCATATGAAATACTCATGATTTGTGGATACATGCCAAATGAAACGCCTTGTTCATATGTGATACAATTATATTATATAATATTCATGTAGTCTAATAAATGTATTGTATATAACTATGCCAATGAATTGAAATCAAACCTGATGATGCTGTTAGAGTGGCCATTTAAGTAAATTATTTACTAGAGTCTGTCTGTCTTCTAAAATAATTTTTTTAGTTCTGTAACTTTTGTATCAGAACTCAGGAGTCAGTGCTTTCAAAGTAAATGCATACAGACAATTTCATTCATTTATTTAATTATTTATCAGACTTTATTTATTAGAGGAACACATACAGTACAGCTAGAATCATCACTTCATCATTACCATCTTCAAGGAGAACAGAAGCATCCGTAAAACAGGATGCTATTGGAGGGATTGTGTCGGATAAAGAAAAGGAAGGGATGGTCTGCAATAAACATCTGTGCAAATGAACGTATGGCGATGACAGCACCGGTGGCTGCAGCCGCTTCGGTTCCTTCCTCGTTTACTTCAACGAAGGCTTTATGAATCACCTTCGACACCACCAGGTCGTTGTTGGGCGACATGCCTGAAAGATTCACCTTCTGCCCATCAAAAACATCCTCCATTCCCATGCTGATCAGAAGACTCTTCATGTCATAGGTTTCCTCCATCTTGAATCTGGGCAGAGATACTTCAACTTCCTGTCGACGCATCTTGCTGGGTTTGGTCCACTCCATGAGCTTCTCGTAGGTCAGTGCCTTTTCAAGCTGGATGAGACATAAAAATGGTATGAATATTTTTGAAACAACGTTCCATACATACTCTTACATTTCAAAGTTCCTTATTTGCATCGATGGTTGCAATAAAAACCATTAACATCCATGGAAACTTTCCATTCCAAAGAACGTCTCGATTATGTATGTAACCCTCATTTCCTGAAGGAGGGAACGGAGATGTTATGTCAGTGACTGACAAATTGGGATCTCGCTAGAGAGACCAATCACCTTCGAGTGTTAACAAAACAAGCCAATAAGTGTTGGCGTGTGATCTTTGCATCGCGCACCCCGCCCCGGGAGAGCTCCTTTTCGCTGAGGAGCCGAGACCATGTGCCTCGGCCATACAGCGGTGGTACAGCAACTGTGGCATCGGAACACAACGTCTCCGTTCCCTCCTTCAGGGAACGAGGGTTACATACGTAATCGAGACGTTCCCTTTCAGTCAGTCACGTTCGACATTACGTCAGTGACTGACGAATTGGGATCCAAATGGAAAACGCCACTATTGCTGACCCCCTCCAGTGCCCTGCGAAAGTCGGCAAGTCCCCCCACACCAATTGGGGCGGAAGATAGGACAGGGCTTAGGCAGAGGTGTCTGCCACTGCTGTTCCATACAGTGGGAATTGGATAACACTGGGAAAGCGTACCCAGTAGGGGAATGCTACAGAAGCCACATCCTACATAAAGGAGCCATCATGTGGAAGTTACACATATGGACTGGCCATAGGGCAGTACTACATATGGAAGTCCCGGTGGTAGATTCTGCCAGGGAAAGACACGGGCTTACCGTGAGGGAAGCTGTACCGTTGAAGAATACACATGTGGGATCACCCGAAGGGAGAATAACTACACACGGGCACCTAGCCCAGCACAAGGGCTGACCTTGGGCATACACACGAGTGCTGGACCTGGCGTCTGGCGTTCCTCCACGCCTGACCGCCGAGGGTGTGGGAGGAACTTCAACAGGTTCACAAAAAGGGAACCTGAACTGAGAAGCACTTAAGCGCACGTATCCGGTCCGTAGAGGGGAATGAGGGGAAAGCGTGATTGACACAGAGCAGGTCCAGTGTTACTGACCATCTGAGACAAGTACACGAGAGGACACAAGCTCTACACGGAGATTATAGAATCTCGCAAACGTGTTAGGTGTCGCCCAGCCGGCAGCTCTACAGATGTCTGCTATCGAGATGCCCCGTTCCAACGCCCAACTTTGTTTGGAGACAGCCTTTCCTTTCTGCTGTCCTCCAAAGTTGACAAAGAGCTGGTCTGAGCTCCTGAAGCTCTGCGTGCGGTCCACGTAAATGCGCAAAGCGCGAACGGGACAGAGCAGCGCAACGGCTGGGTCTGCCTCCTCCCGGGGCAGCACTTGCCAGAGATGTTCACAAGTCTTTAACTTGGAGTCCAAGTCAAGTCTGAAGTCTTTAACCTGGAGTCTTAGTCAAGTCTGAAGTCTTTGTCGCTGGAGTCTGAGTCAAGTCTCGAGTCTTTGGCCATGAGTCCGAGTCGAGTCTCAAATCATTTAATGGCTTGCTAAAAAAATCTAATTCAGAATCCTATTGTATTGAAATCGTCCTATTTACGAAGCTGTTTTATAGGCTATAGACAAAATATATATTCTATGATCTGCTTTGCAAAAAAAAAAAAAGGGAAAAAAAAGAGGTGTTAATATGTAAGGTTATTGTACATCCAACCTGTTATTTATAGGCTATGTTTTAATCCATTACCATGTTCAAAACCGTTTTTCTATAATGAAATTCTATAATAAGAGTCCGATCTACCACGGCACACAAGGAAATATGTGACACAGTTATTACAAAACCATACAAATTAAGTATTTATTTATTATATAAGCCAGGGGTATTCAATTAAAGTTCCAAGCCGTGGCCTCTATATTTTTTTCTATATACAGTATATAACATTTTTTATTTATTTTTTTAACATGTATTGCATTTTTACATTTAGATATATGAGAGGCCGTGTGACAGAAAAAAAATACTGTTTCTGTTCAGGGTTTTCCTCCTGAAATCTATACTATTTTAATATTTTAGCCTACTTAAAAGCATTATCTAAAAACAAAGTAGCTACAATAATCAAAACATTCTCATCTTGAGCAGAAAACAAAGATAACCAGCAATTTCAAAGTTTAAGTTCTATCCTAGCCATCTAACAACAATTTTCCCAATTATAATGACATGATTCTTTTTAAATGTTCTTAGCCTACAGATTAATAATGCTAAATGTAGATCAGTAACGTATTGTCACATCTGGTTTGAACAGTCTGAGTCATAGGTTATAGATAGGTAAATAGATAGTATGAAAAATAACTATATTTGCAGCATTGTTGTTTTCTGCTGTGTTTTGTTGTTTCTGTTGTTGATAAAATAACCGCATTACCTGCAGCTCTAAACTTGGCGCCGGCGCGTCCAGAGAGAGAGAGAGAGAGAGAGAGCGAGAGAGAGAGAGAAAGCGCACGGAGCTGAAACGGATTGAATAAAGTGCGTTTGGCTTTTGATAAAAATACTAGAGGATATAGCGCTGAAAGATATTTACCACAAACGACCCTGAGCGCTTGTTATGCGATCTGCTCCGTTGTTTTGAAGCGCTGTTCACTTATGGTGTTACGGCTCGCGGTCCGGATGGATGCCGGGGTGCGGATATGGACCGCCTTTTGAATATCAGTTATATAAGTATTTAAGGATAAAAGACTCGAGTTGCTTTTAAAAATTTCACGAGTCCTTTTCCTCAAGTCGAGTCAAGTCTGGAGTCATTTCAGGTCGAGGCTGAGTCAAGTCTGAAGTCTAAAAAAAATGCGATTCGAGTCCGAATCACTAACTCGAGTGCCCATCTCTGGCGCTTGCAAGTTCACCACCTGATCCCTGAAAGGCGTGGTGGGAACTTTGGGCACATAACCAGGCTGGGGTCTCAGGACAACGTGAGAGTTGTCCGGCCCGAATTCAAGGCACGAATCGTCGACCGAAAATGCCTGCAGGTCCCCGACCCCCTTGACCGAAGCCAATGCAGTGAGGAGCATTGTCTTTAGTGACAGAAACTTAAGCTCTACTGACTG